TGCTGCATTGCCTAAATTAAGGAAATGTCTGTCAGCTTGGTTTGTTGTCTGGGCAGGTGCTGTTGGCGTGTCCAGGACTGGGTCAGTTTTCCCTGCACGCCAGTTCGCTGGGGCTCGTGGCCTGGGGACAAGCACCAACCTGTCTCCTCTCTGTCCCTCGCCCCGGGAAGGCTCCTGGCCACATCCCGGCTCTATTACGTGGCTGCCCAAGTCAGTGTAGCGGGTTTTGCGCCCAGCTGTAGCCCACGTTTGCGACAGAGCACAAGCCCCTTGAGAGTGGCCCCGGTGACAAGAGGAACAAAGATGTGGGGTGACAGCAGTCAGATTCTAGCTGATGGCAGCTCCCCGCTCCTCTCCACTCCCAGAGCACCCAGGCGTCTGGGCTCCCAGCTCCTCCCCAGATAAACTCACATGCCCCAGACTCCTGGCTCCCCACCCCCGTGGGCCCCATGTGCAGGGAAGGCAGCATGTGAGCAAGGGGCAGGGTCCTGCCAGTGCTGCATCCAACACCGAGTGCCTCCGAGGGGACCTTAAAAGTCCCTGACACATGTAGAAGCATATGGGGTTGCGGGGGACCAGCAAAGCCCAAATGCCTGGGAAATCCCTACAGCAGAGCACAGCAACACTGAACCTATGCTGTCCCCAACCAGTGGCCACTTCCCCTATATTCTCACCACCTTGGCCTGAGAGACCATAGTACAGGCCTGTGCTAGGGCCACAGCTCACCCTCCTCTGTCACCCTCCTCCATCGCACCTGAGAGCCCTGCGCCCTCCCAGGATACTTGCACTGAGCAGGGAGGAGGATGAGAGCACCCGAATGGCCATGGATCCACCTCTTCCCATGCCCTGTTTCTGCTGGAGGGACCCACAGTTGGAGGCCCCCGTTCCTTCCCCAGCCGTTGCGTTGGGCGCTGTCCAGGGACAGCAGAGTCCAGCTCCAGAGGGGCCCAGCCGGGCCGGGCTCCAGAGGATGGTATCAGGGCACATGTGGGGGGAAGGACGTGGAAGACAGGGGAGCCCTTGTAGGGGGACCATGGCCTGGACCCATCAGCCATTGCTCCTGCCTGCCCCAGGGTGGGTCACAGCCGTTGTGGCAGCTACAGCCGTGGCAGTTCAGCTGCTGCCTCCCTGTGCTGGGAAGATTGTTTCCTCCCGTCCTGTTCCTGCCAACTCCCTGCATCCCGGGCTGGGGCTCTGGGGGTCTCCCATGGCCACTGCTGCTGCATCGGTGACATCCACCCCTCGTTGCCCGACCTGGGCATGTCACCCGGCCCAGCCCTTGGACAGGCAGTTTCCTGAATGCTGTCACCATATGTGTGCTCGTCACCTCTGCCCGCCCTGTCGGGCACTGCTCGAGTCCGGGCTCCACAAACACCTGCTCATCACCAGCATGAGCTGGAAAGTCCTACAACATCCCCCCAATCCCACTCCATAAACCAAGCATGAATACAGGGCCTGTTTCCCAGAGCGGCAGGGAGGGTTCAGTCAGGGGTGAGCCTGCCTGGATCTGGGGCTGGGCTGAATATGACCCCCCTGAAGTGGCTTCTAGCTTAACCCCCATCGGCATGACAGTGACGGGTCCTGCAGGAGCCCCAGCCTCATAGCCAGCCTCCCTGCTGCAGCCTGGGGCTGGGGGTTTGTGTGAGGGGCATCTGATGACTCTGAAATTCATGCTAAGCTGGGGCCTACTCACAAAAGTTAAAATACAGAATACTGATGCTAACTGCATAGTGCAAGAAGATACGAGTTCATGGCTAGGCCATCTGAGAAGGAATAATGAAGCATCTCTTCCAGCTTATCTTGCTATATTCAAGATGATTTCAGGCAGACTCTTAGTTGTCTGGTGTGTGACCATATGAAATGTCTATCCTTGATTAATTAGCATGGTAAACATTTCTTTTGCGTCTAACTCGTGTTTATGTGCAGGAAGAGACATCCTCCATGTGTGATAGATGTCTCCTCCTGATTTACTATGTTTTTCCTGGCTGTTAATCAGTTTCTTGATATGTTCCACACTGGATCACCTCTTGTTCCTGGAGAAGGCAACTCATCAAATTAGACATTTCCGATAACCAGTAATGAGCAGGTTTTCCCTGTCAATTACTGCTTGGGACTCTCTCTTGATTTACACAACTAAAATAACGCTTTGAAGATGCTAAACTAAGGGTATAAAAAGGCAGTAAAACAGCAAAAAGAGCACGCGCTCACTTGACTTGATCTTAAAGGCTTGTACTAAATAAAGCCTTTCTGTCACTCATTGAATGAGGTGTCGTGTCAAGCCCTGGGCTAGTCCGGACTCCTAGGTTTTTATTTGCTAACAGCATCTAGACTCCAGTCACCTTCCTGGCCTGGTTCCCTGTGACCCCAGGCACATGGTCAGGCCTGGCCACACACCAGCGCCTGGCTCTGGGTCTGTCACCAGGAGGCTGACGCAGTCGCTACTGGGCACCGGTCATGGCTAGGACAGCCTAGGGCCGTGGCCTCATGCAGGAGCAAGGGCAGTGAGAAGGGTGGGGCTGGGGCTCCTTGTTTCCAGGCCGCGGCCAGGCAGGACATGTCCTGACAGACGCTCCCAGATCCGGGGGCCATTCCTGGGAGTCTCCAGGGGAGCCGTGCAAAGGATGCCGGGAGGTGGGTGCAGTGCCCTGGCCTCAGCTATTAGGCCCCAGCAGCCAGCCCCAGCTCAGGGCTGCTATTGTGTCTTATTATGTTTTCCTTGTACTATCCCTTGAAGGCCAAAGCCCTCGTGCTCAGCACTGCAGGGCTCACTCTCCTTGTGGCAGTTTTGCAGCACTGGGGTCTCCATTTTTCTCTGCCATGAGGAGCCAGAGGCATTCTTGGTTCCTCTCCCTCCACGGGACTGGACAGGGTCAGGTCAGAGGCAGAGCAAGTGTAAGTTCTGCATACACAGACCGAGGGCAATTGTTAGGATCCACCCAGGATATGATTCCAGAGAGTTATAAGAATAGATAACTGTAGTTCAACCCAGGAGTGCCCAGTGTTGTTGCTGAACTCACAATTTATCAGCCATGGCAGCACACAAGAGGCCTGCAAGAGACCACGGGTTCTGCTCCCTTCCTCCCCACCGAGGCTGGCAGCTGGGTCCCCTCCAGCCCCCATGCCCCGTGTTAACAGCGGACACATAGGGATCCCCAGCCCAGCAGCCTCGGCCCCCAGGGAAGCCAGGGGGAGCACCTGCATCAGGAGTTTGAAGCCTCCCCAGGTGTTGGCTGCAGCCCAGGCTGACGCTGTGCCAGTGGCTCCTGCTGGGACCAAGGCTGGAGGCTCCTGGCTAGATGATCTTGCCCCTCCGCTCAGGCTCAGACCAGTGCTGCATTTGGGGTCAGGAAAGATTTACCCCCTGGCCAGACTGGGGGTTTCTTGCCTTCCTCTGTGGTGGGGCATGGCCTCCACCTGGGATCCGAGTGCGTATTTACCACCTCTTCTAGAAGCGGGACGTTGGGCGCTGCAGCCCCCAGCTTTCCCTCTGGTAGAGCCAGAGGTGATGCCTAGGGATGCATCAGGGCTGGTGGTGGTTGTGCTCTGAGGTTAGATGATGGTTTGTTTGGGCTGCTTTGGACAGGGATGAGTGTTTCTCTGGGCCCTGCCAAGACAGCAGAGGTCTGGGGGGAGGTTGGCCACGGCAGGATGCATCAGTGAGGAGCTGCAGGCAGAAGCAGTGAGAACGCAGCAACCAGGTTTATGGCTGTGGGGAGAAGCCAGGGGCTCAGCGCATGGAAAAGGGAGGCAACATTTATTAAAATATCATCTCTGCCCTTGGGAGCAAAAGCTTCTGTTAAGCACAGGAGTGGGCAATTATTTTGGGCGGAAGGCCACTTACTGAGTTTTGGCCATCGAGGGCCACATGACAAGGGGCAGATAAATATTAATTTACTACATTTTTTAGGGCTCCCGTGGGCCAGATAGAATGGCCCGCCCCAGCATTTTGCCCACCTTGTGTTAGAAACGCAAGGAGACCGAGGAGGGACCGAGACAGAGACTCCAATGGGGCCCCGCTGCTGCAGCTCAGAGCTGACCAGGCTTCCTACAGCCCAGTAACACCCTCTGCCTGGGTGGCCACGGGCCCTGGGTAAGGGGGCAGGGCAGAAGATCCAGCTGCTACAGGTGCTGCAGCTTGGCATCAGGACAGACCTGCGACCAGACTGACACCACGTTGCTGATTTAGAGGAGCCAAGTGACCCCTCAACCTGCCCTCCCTACCCTGTGACACCTGCGACCTGGAGTGTTACCAACCCCTGGCCTCTGCCCAGCCCCTGCCCCAAGGGACAGGGCTGCCGGCCCTGACTTCCTCTTCAAGCCCATGGCTCTACGGGGACTGGGCCCCTAGTCCCCCCCAGCACATGCAGGCCACTCCTGAGACAAGCCCCATATGCTAGGTGTTACCTCTCATCTCTATGTTCTTGGGGACCCCTGACACAGGACGCAGACCATCTGACTCACAACCAATCCCCCCCACCACCTAAACAGACACTGATTAAGATGCAGTGATTAAGTTGCACCTAAAAAAACCCTCCAGATAAGGGTGACAAGAGTGAAACAACTGCCCTAGGTCTCATTTGCATCCGAGATGGAACCAGATGACTATTCATTTACATGGGAGATGGAGAACAGAAAGTCCGAAGCAGAGACCACAGTGAATTCTGGGATCAGAAAAGCAGGGGAGCATTGCATGATGGGAAATCTGTGCTCCAAATGCTAATTAACCCACACACCCAGCTCAGCATTTATCAGACCAGCTCTAATCTGGATTTACAAAGGACTCCCCGCCCCCCAGCACAAGTAAGTTTAATAGGCATCTCGGGCCGTACATTCCCCGGTCCCACTATGGGAGGCCTATTTAAACTTAATTGACTAAAACTCGGTTGCCGGGTTAGGGAATGCTGAGGCAAGACACCAAGTCAGGGGGTATGGGCAACATTTGAGCAATGGTAAAGGGTTCATCACAGTGTCCAGGCCGTTGGAGCCCTGACCACAAGTGTTGTCATACTTTTCCCAAGACGACTGGTGGAAGTCCTCCACTCCCAAAGGTTATGAACACTTCAATAATTGCCTTAAGTCTATTAAAAGACTATAGTAAGATCTGGAAAAGTCATGCTAAGCTGAGGCTTGCTCACAACAAATAAAAATCCAAAACCCTGATGCTGCAAGCTATCTATTGTTTCTGAAGAAACCAGGCGATATCCCATCAGTATATCTGCTATCCATAGGAATTTCAAGCTGGCTCCTAAGTGTCTGGTTACTCCTGAACCTTATGTTTCCCTGATTATCAATCCATTTTTTGAGATGTTCCAAACCAGATAACCCCTTGTCAAGAGAAAAGA